TCCTTGCCAATATTATTGCCTGTTATGTTGATTCTAGCTATTTGACAGGTGTGAAGTGATATCTTATTGTGGTTTTGATTTGCATTTCCCTGATGACTTTTGATTTGGAATATCTTTTTTTGCATCTGTTGACCATCTGTATGTCTTCTTTGGAAAAATGGCTGTTTAGGTTCTCTGCCCATTTTTTAATTGGATTATTATTATTTGGTGTTGAGTTATATAAATTCCTTATGTATTTTGGATATTGTCCCTTTATTATATATATCATTTGCAATATCTTCTCTCATTCAGGAGGTTGCCTTGTTGTTTTGTTGATGATTTCCTTCACTGGGCAATAGCTTTTTATTTTATTTTGGCATGTTCAAATAGTTTAACTTTGCTATTGTTTTTCTTTTTTTTTTCTTTTTAAAGATTTTATTTATTTATTCATGAGACACACACACACACACACACACACACACAGAGTCAGAGATACAGGCAGAGGGAGAAGCAGGCTCCCTGCAGGGAGCCCCACGTGGGACTTGATCCCGGGTCTCCAGGATCACACCCCAGGCTGAAGGCAGGTGCTAAACCGCTGAGCCAACCGGGCTGCCCTGCTATTGTTTTTCTTGTCATAGGAGGTATATCTAGAAAAATGTTTCTATTACAGATACTAAAGAAATTACTGCTTATATTTTCTTCTAAGAGTTTTATGGTTTCAGTTCTCATAGTTAGGTCTTGAATCCAATTTCATGTAAATATAAAGTGATATTTTCTCCCCGAATTACTTTTCATCACTGTACATCTCTTCATGGTGTTTTTTTAACCTATGAAAAGTGTAATTCTTTATTCATTAATAAATTCCCATTGAAATTAGAGCATAGATGAGATTTCAGAACCGGTTGAAGTTCTATTTTTTAAAAGTGCATAATGATAGTTAAGAATGCAAAATGCTAGGATAAGTATCGATTTATTTTTGAATTGTCATTAGTGGGGTTTCGCTTAGAATCCAAAAGTAATCACTGCATACATAGTGACCTTTCCTCTCTAGAATTGGGGAATCTAATTTTATTTTATATAAAGTTTTATATTTTATAAATTATAAAACCAAAAGATGCTTATAATAAAAATTAAAATTACATATAAATATATTACATACAACCTCAAATTCTCTCAATTCTCAATCTCATTTTTTACATGAAAATAGTATAAGTTGTTTTCTTTGGGGAGTGTGTGTACATAAATATGTAAGTTGTTACATACATACAATATGGGAGAGTATTACCTCTTTTAATTTTGTATTGGGAAAAAGAATGCATAGAACAAAAGAGATGTCAAAAATAGAAAAAGGATATAGATTTGACGATTGAATGGATTTGAATTATGAGGGAGAGGAATGAATTGAGAATTACCTTATGGTTATATTAACACTTATCAACATAGGAATTACAATAATAAATTCAAGGAAAAATTACTTATGATGTTTAGAGCATGATACCTTTGGGGTACTAGGCATTAGAGGTGAAAATTTTTATCTACCAGAGGCAGAGAAGAAAAACGGTAAACTACAGAAGTTAGTAATTAGGTTCACTTTTGATTGCAAGTCACAGAAAACTCAACCTTAAAAATGTATTAGACAATTAAAAAAAGGATTGGCTTCCTTATAATGGATATCTATAAATAAAGAGTAAAAGAGGCTTGGTTTGTCACGTAGCTATGTGATGAAATCACTCCCAGTCATTTTTTTCCCCACTCCGCTGTTTGTATTGTTAGCTTTATCTTAAGGCCGATTTCTGCCAATAGCAATCAAGGCTATCCTTTGCCTTTTTCATAGTAACTAGAAAGAAATAAAATAACTAACATCAAAAGACCCTAACTTTCAATGTGTTTGAGTAAACTTAGGTCATGTGCCATTTGCTGAACCATAGTGGGGACTCATGAATGCTTTGGGTTACCTCTGAATAAATGGGGTGGGGATGGGAGGTTGGTAGTGATTCCTTGCCTGTCTCAGAGGTAATAAGGTCTATTTCTGGAGCTGGGGTTGATTTCCCAACTCAACAGTTCTTATGTAGTGGATGTGTGGGTGGAATAGATTGTAAGACTTATAGTAGTGTATCCATTACAGAAGGCAGGCAATGTACAGACTTTCAAGGATTATGTGAGCACTAAGTAAATGATCATCAATGTATTTAATGATTAGGAATTTACTACCTTTGAAGAAAGAAGCTGAAATCATATTGTACTAGGTTAAAGAATTAACAGAAAAGCATGTGAAAAGTGGACACAGTGTTGTGGGATCACTCTTTTAAGAATTATGGCTTTTTTTAATTTTTATTTATTTATGATAGTCACAGAGAGAGAGAGAGATAGAGAGAGAGAGACAGAGACACAGGCAGAGGGAGAAGCAGGCTCCATGCACCGGGAGCCCGACGTGGGATTCGATCCCGGGTCTCCAGGATCGCGCCCTGGGCCAAAGGCAGGCGCCAAACCGCTGCGCCACCCAGGGATCCCAAGAATTATGGCTTTTGAAGGAGAGAGTAAAGACAGTGGTAGCTAAGGAGGAACCATTATCGAATAATATAGGATGATTAATTCAGACAATAGAAGAGAAAAAGAAAGTACCTACTATATTTGAAATAAAAATTATATTTTGTCAATTATCATAAGTTATTTTACATCAAGGAAAGACCTCAATTTAAGAGTTACTTATTCTTATAAATGATTAATTCTGATATTAATATTATTAAAATCTTCATTTTGACGTCAATATGTACTGAAACAACTTTCCTTTGCATCCTCCCATGAGAATGTGATAAGACTATTCCCTTAGGAATCATGACAGACTAAATATGACAATGTGTATGACATCCCTAGTATAATCTTTGGCGTGTAGTAGTGCTCAGTAAATATTTTTCTTTTTTTTAATTTTATTTTTATTTTTTTTTAGTAAATATTTTTCTTTAGTCCATCCTTATTTTCTGAGTCCTACTGATAAAAAACTAGATTATCTCTAAGATCTGAAAGTCAATTAGTCTATGATTTTAAGTTAAAAAAATGTTTAAGCACCAAAGAAGTTATAATGAGAGGAGCAATTTGAGAGCATCTCCACTCTATAAGCTGGAGAGTTTCCTGCTACATCTGCTGGTTTGAGGTTTATGAGTAGCCTTATTTAGCCATGACTCTTTATGATGTGCCTTGTTTCTACAATGTCCAAACATCTCTGAGTTAATGAACAGGAAAAAAAAAATGTTGGTTGCCTTTCAGACAGGCTTTTCATCCCCTTTTATTATACTCTACTTTTGATCTTTGGATATCATTATTGCATAATATGTTTGTCAAGTAAAAGATATGTTTCCATGTATTTATAAAAAATTGAAATTATATGTTTCCCTAAGAAATTTACATATATAGTAGCCTGCTATTCAGTGAGTAAAATAGCCAATAATCTCCTATTCTATAAGATCTGTGGTCCAAAGTTAATACACAAATACATCGTATACTCTTGGTTTTGAACCATCCCTTTCTCCCATATATTATCACAAGCATCTTGCATTCCAAATCAGTAATGGTCACTGTATATTATTATAAAGTTAATGCATCTTAGGATCATTTTGGTTTGTGCTGTACATCATCCTAGGCAGAACTGTCAGCTTCATGCTTGCAGCTGCTCTCAATCTGTCATCATAAATGATAAAAGAGCTTTGGAGTCTTATTTTCTATTGTACATTATTGTCACTACAAGAATGCAAGACCAGCATATCTTGGCTTGCTCACAATACCCTTTATGAAGATATGAACTTTACTAGAGTAGCAAGGGATCTTTACATTTCTAAGTAAATAAATAAAACTGTAAATCTTCTAAAGTTTTGGGTTAATACCATTGGAACTTAACATAAAGCCTCATTCTTACATACAGATCTCAATTTAATTTTTTCAATTATTTTTAATTTCCATGATTCTTATTCCCTGGAGTAAAACTAGTATAATTTCTCAAATGGATATTTTTGGATACTTGTCAGCAAATGTGAAATAAATAATATTGGACAATAGTACTCCATAGACTTCTCACATTTATGCCTGCCTTGTGAGCAAGGCATTAACTTCCACTTATTCCAGACAATTTTTTCCAAGGATATTTGTAGAGTGAATAGTTGTGGAATAAAGATTATAACTTTCTGGAGTAAATGACAGGTTTGCTTACAGTTTGGGAAAACAAGTGTCTTTTTCCAAAGCAAATGTCAGGAATGCTTTTTGTCCAGTATAATAAAAACATCTCTCTCTGAAGCACAGGGCCAGCATGTTATCGCCTACTATAAAAATTTAGGGTTTCCTGTGCTCAGGATTCCTCTCCTGTAATGCAGCCCACTGAGTATACAGGCATCTCTCTTCATCTGTTTCTGTTTTTCCTGAGAATTGGAGAGAAAGGATGGAAATAGGTTGCAACTCGTGATATTTATTGTACATAAGTAAAATCTATTGTTTCCATCCCTGAACTCTTATCTATTCTGCTAGTTTCTTCTATGGAATTTTGGTAGGTTATCTTGTTTGAATGTAAATTAGATAGAATCAAGACTTTTTAACAATTCTTGACAACATGTGTAAGAAAATGAAGAAGCAGCTTCCGAAGTTTTTTAGTGGAGAATTTATTTTAGGAAGCCAAATGCAGCCCAAATAAACAACTGACAAAACACATGCTTAATTATGTTTATTTCTATTCCATTCTTAATTTTTAAAAAATCTATTTGCCAAAAGGTTTTATGTAATATCACGTATGTTTTATTGCTGAGGGACGAGCAGTATCAATGAGGGAAATAAAATCTTTGAAAAAAATATTAAGATATTTCCAAAGAAGCCAGAATCTGTATGTGTGTGTGTGTGTGTGTGTAAAATTTATTCTAAGCTACTGCTTATTTCAGAGAATATAAGTAATACTTAAAATGGATATTAATCATGGACAGCTCTGTATTTAACTTTATGAACAGAGATATACATTCTATGCTTTCTTAAAATTTATTTGATTAGACTAGTTATTAGATTAGAGATCGTGATTCTATATCCCAATTTTATTCTAATGGACTATTAGAACTTTCCTGGAAGAATGTTGTAATGACTTAAACCTTACTTTTATATTGGATAGGGGACGTATCAGATGTTAAACTGATAAGAACAGATACTACACTTGATCTTAGCCAAAAGGCCGAGAAGTGATAAACTTTACTTTTATATTGGGCAGCCCCCGTGGCTCAGCGTTTTAGCGCCGCCTTCAGTCCAGGGTGTGATCGGAGACCTGGGGTCGAGTCCCATGTCAGGCTCCCTGCATGGATCCTCCTCCTCCCTCTGCCTGTGTCTCAGCCTCTCTCTCTCTGCGTCTCTCATGAATAGATAAATAAAATCTTTTTTTAAAAAAAAAAAACTTTACTTTTATATTTGTTTAATGGGCTACTTTTTGTCTACTTAATATTTATAGATAACTCTCTCCAGTCTTTCAAAATTTTTAATAGAACCCTAATTTTATTCCAATAATCTGCCATTCTCGTATGATCATATGCTTCACTAGGCTGTGGCAATTGCATTTCCCTTGCCAATACTTTGTCTAGGAATGGGTATTTGATAACACTTAGAATAATGCCCGAGGAAATTTTGGAGCACTTCTGAGTATGCCTCTCTTACTCTAAAGAAGAAGTATGAAAGGAGATGCTCTCCTCTCCTTCCAATGTGATATGGTATGTGGAATTGTGATAGCCACCTGTCATCATGAGGAATGTTAGTCTGAGATCCTCACTGGAATGATAGTAATCTACTGAAAAGTGCAAAGAATTTCACTTATTGATGATGCCATCACTGGACTAACCAATTCTAGGGCTAATTATACATACATGATATGTATACACACCTGAGATATGGTATATGGGCATGGTATATATACATGGGATGGCATACATACATGAGATAATAAATTTCTTTACTATTAAAGCCATATTAATACAATTTTATGGATCTCTTAAATGAAATTTGTGTGTGTGTGTGTATGGATATGTGTCTAGAAAAGAGGAATGGAACTAAAAGTCATAGACAGTTAAATTCTGGCCAAGCTCCAGACAAAGCTAAAATGAAACAAGGTCATTTTTAAGGTCTATGATAGTCATATCACATAAGGAACCTCATTAGATCTGCGTACTATCACAGATGATTTCTTATTAATCATCCTAATTAGCTTCTGTAAAATATATAATAATACTATTTAAATTCTGTCCTTTTTATATATGGTTGAATCTTTTGTTCATGAAGAATCTTACCTGAATCTTGGTATTTCAAATGAATTGAAAGAAAACTGTATTGTCTTAGGCATAGGCAATGAAATGGAATTTTGCTTCTTAGATCACTGCTTTTCTTCATTTTACACAGCCAGTTTTGGGGGTAGTCCATGGAACCAGTAGAACTTAATATGAAAATCACTCTAATTTATATCTGGGATTTTGCAAACTTAAGACAGAATTAAATTTTATATACAAGCCAAAGAGTTTAAGCTAGCATTATGTGTCCAGCTTGGCCTCACTAAATATGCATAAGTAATGGTGATAATTTCTGTATCACAGCTAATAATTCAAAATGGAAATAGAAATGATATCTTTTATGTTGTATTGATTTTAAAGCATATCCTTAATATGACGGCTTACTCATAAAACCAATCAGGCAATAATAGATTTCAAGAAAGGCAACTGATAAAATTTTCTTTATTGTAGCGAAGTCTGAGAATAAATGCTTTTGGATAAAGCATAATTTCAGATGAGAAAAAGACAGAGGGTGAATGGCAAAGAAAAATAAAACAATCAAACAAACAAAAAACATACTGCTTTTTTTTTTTTTTAGAGTAAATCTCCCTTTGATAAACTATCAAAAAGGAAGCTTTAGGAATTGCCAGCTATGATAGATAATCAGACTTGCCTCTAAGCAAAACAATTTCTGTTAGATATGAGGGAGGAAATTAAAAATGCCTAGCACTTGACATTTATTTCTGCATTGGTTAAGGTAAGCAAAGTGATGTTCTATTGGATGTGAAGAGATGCTGTGTAAGTAAACATGGACGATTTAGAACCATTCATCTCTAGTATTTTATTCAATTTACAATCTTGCAGAGAAATCAATAGGCCTAGTTCTCTTCTTGTCCGCCCTCCTTTCTGCTAGCCTCATGCCATTAATCTGAGTTTAATGGGCACAGTAGCTTTAATGGATGTTGTCTTTAAGGTAATGTAGCAATTTATCCCTGGATTCACTAATCTCTATGCTTGGGCAATATGCTAACCTCCTGTTTCCCCAGACCCTCTGGAGATTAGCTAATGCTTTAGTTTCTTAGAGTTAAAATTCTCCCTATTGTCCATTGAAAACTTTCAGATCAACTCTGCTTTCAGCCTTGATAATAAATTTGTAGTAGTGAAGAGGGAATAGGTGGTATCTGTGGTACAACTGTCAGAGAAGACGTGAACTGTGGAGATAAGACAATTCAGAAATAAATTGTTTATATATCAGGTAACTGCTTCACAAGCAATTAAATATAATTAACAACAATAATAGTCATTGATTACTCAGTGCTTATTTTTTGCCAAAATCTGGGCTAAGCAATTATGCATTATTGCTTTTATTCAGCTACTGAATAATTTTTTTTTCAAAAAAAAACTGCTCTCACACTCCTGCCTGAAACACTCAGATGTCTCCCCATGAGCTTAGTTTTCAATCGAACCTATTTATCACAGGTATAAAACCTTGAATGCCTGGACTATTCCGAACCCCGTGATCTCAACTTCCACCATTCTCTTTCTTACTCACACTATCATGGCCTCACTGTCTCAAGCCCCTTCTACTTTGGGGATTTCATACTTGTTCCCTCTTCCCAAAAACCTCTTTCCCCGAATCTTTACAGGATTCAGTTCTCATTTGCCAGGCGGGTCTCTGCCCAGTTACCATCTCCTCAGGAAAGTCTTCCTGATTACCCTGTTAAAAAGGGCTTACCTTCTTCTAGATGCTCATCATCACCCAAATCATGCCATGCCTTTGTTGATGTCTAATTCCAAAATAAAACACAATAAAAATGGTAGCTCCATGAGGCAGGATGTTTGTATCTTATATTTATTAATAGATTTCTTGTGAGTATTAATGAATGGTGTCAAGAAAGTATTATCCTTCAAGGAAGTATTTTTTGAGTGAATGTTCGATCTAATGCATAAAGAAGGCATTCCAAATGATATTATTATTCCCCTTCCTTTTACAGATAAGAAAAATAAGAGCACTTGAGTCATGTTACTTTCTCAAGGGAATATGACTAATTAGGATTAAAATTATGCGTCAACTTACTTCCAGCTAGCATTCATTCATTTAACTCTGTTACTGTTTGTTGTTTCCATGTTTGTTTAATATGAAAATACATGGCTCTGAAAGTTCTTGGGTATTTCTTCTGGTGAACATGTACAAGGATTCTCTGAAATGTGCATGTAGGATAGGGAGAGCTGAGTGGTAGTGTGTTGACATTTTTAACATCACTAGATAATACCAGTTTTCCAAAATGGTTGTGCCGGATTTCATTCCTACCGGAAGTTCTGAACTTTCACCTTGCACTTCAGCAATACATTAATGTTCTTTTTCAAAACTGCAATGTAGTTTTGGCCCTCTCTTGTACTTTTGTTGCCTTTTTAAAAAATTTATGTCATTAAGCATTTTCAATACTTTTTTTTTTTCTTGCACTGTGTCTGGTATTTTTAGTATCTGAAATCCTTATTGGTGTCATGTTTGTTTTCATGACTTGCTTCCTTTTATTTACTTATTTTTTAACTGTAGATGTAATCCAATGCTCATGTGGCCTCTATGATTGAGAATTCTCTGAGGCTATTTTTGAGAGTGTATTCATACAGTGACAATTTGTCACTTTTGCTTTCTCTGGACTTCTGTATAATGAAATCATGTAAATTCAATCTCCAAATTCATGCAAGGCCAGTCTTTTGGTTACAGACACTAAAGGGAAACTTGCATATCAACTCATGTCCCATGCCAATAATTTTCTTTCTGTGTACATTTGTAGATAGCATCCGGCCTATGTTTTTACTGAACTCTTTGTGAGGCTCCAAATTTTGCAGAATCTTAAGCCTATCTCCCCATACTGTGCAAGTCCTAAGCCTTTTTTCTTGTCAGGTCTTCTTATTAAAATTCTAACCATTTGATCAGAGGTTTCTGCAATTTTTCTGATGACACTTGCAGTTTCAAAGTGATCTTATGACTCTGACGAGCACTTCCCTTTTATGCAGTGGTTTAAGTAAATTTCTCTTTTCTGAGTTTACTTCTTCCTGGCTCAGGATTTTTTCCTATACTGTATTGCTATGTATTTTGAATGGGAAAGTGTTTTAGGTCATAAAATCTTCCGTAGATTCCCAGACCATATTTTGTTGGTAAACCTTATTATGTTTTTCCTCCTTTATTTTCTTCTGAAAATTTAATACCAGTAAATAAAGCTTGAACGATGTATTGGAAGCCTAAATATCACTAACCTTTGAAGTATTTTTTGATTGAGCTCTATGAAGACATAGATGCTTGGAAGTATTTTTTGATTCAGCTTATATGAAGACATAGATACACTTAAGTTTATATATCTCACATGAATATCAATAATTCCCTCTTTCCTTCAAATATTCAAAATCCTGCTAGTTATGTTGTATTTTAACTATGACTTTCATAGTTTGCACTTTAAAAATTTTTCTCAGGATTTTAAATAACTTTATTCTTTGTGAAGAATTTTTTTATCATTTAATTAAAATAATTAACTTATTTATATTTTAGATAGTTAATTTTTAGGCCAACTGTGCAATGATACCTCTCAGAATTTTTTTTTTTTTTTTTTTTTTTTTTTTTTTTTTTTTTTTTTTTTTTTTTTTGGTCTTTGTGGAGCTAATTAGCCTGTCTCTGGGATTAATTAGCTTCCTCTGGGGCTTATTCTTTGTTTTACCAAAGTACATCCATAAGTTTTTTTTTTTTTTTAAGTTTTTTTTTTTTTTTTCAAAAATAAAGACCCATGGGAGAAAAACTTCCTGAATACTGTTATGACAAGAAATTCTTTACTTCTTTCTCTCATTTGAATTCAGTAGGATACAGATTTCTAGAGATAAAGTACTTTCCTTGCTTGGGGCCTCTAGTATTAGATATTACTGACTACTTGGTAGGTGGCAA